CGGGTATTGTCCGGGCGCGGCCGGGTGGGCTCGTGCGCGCGCCGCGCTCCCCTGCGCGCCCGCGCTGCGCCTCCTGCCGGCCGCCGCGGGCCGGCGCGCCGTCCCCGCAGCCCGAGGCTCGGCCGGCGGTTCCCAGACGGCTCCCGCCCCCGCCGCCCCCGCCGCAGCGTCGCACCGCGAGCGAGCGGCGCCCTCCCCGAGGTGCCAGCGGGGCCGGGGTCGACGGGCCGGGAGAGGGGAGGGAGCCCCGGACGCCAGGCCGCCGCTCCCGGGAGCCAGCCCGGAGGCCCCGCAGCCCGCCTCGGGTGGGGACCTCCGCGGGGACAGGCGGAGCGGCAGAGGAAGGACACGGCAGCCAGGGCAGCCTGAGGCCCAGCCGGGGCTAAGGTTGGACCCGGGCTACCGAATCCCAGGGCGCTGCCCAGAGTGGCCGAGGCGGCCACAGGGGAGAGGCCGGGGCCTGTCTTCCCAGGTGCGTGAGGAAGCCCTCTGGCCACCCACAGGCCCACCCTCTGGGACCTGGGGCTGCAGGCTCGGAGAGCTTCCAGAGTCCCAGTCGTGCTGCTCTAGGTGCTGGGTAAATCCGTGCTGCTCTGGGCTGCAGGGAGCAGGCCTTGCACCTACTAAGCACCTGCTGTGTGCCCTACTCAGGTTAGGAAATGAGTGCTTCCTTGACGCCCTTCCTAGACGAGATGCCCAGGCTCCATGGCCCTGGAGACCCTGGGCTTCTCAGACAGAGGGTCAGAGACCTACTCAGCCTGCTTCTACCTCTCCCCACAATTAACCGAGACTCACTCCCCAGGGGGCTGTGTTTTCTGATTGGAGAAGAAAAAGACATGACCAAGATTTAATCTCTCCACTGTATAAAGAGCACCAGAAAATCAATGACAACAGCAAGGCGACAGTATCATCATTCATGAGTCCTCACAGACTGTTGTCCAAAGACAGGGAAATCCATTCAGACCCTTATGGAAAGACCCTTCAGGGTCACAGTCCAGCAGTTCTGTGCCAGACCCTCTGCTCTGCAGCCCCAGACAAGCTGGCTCCCCTTTCTGGTGAGTTCAGGAAGCCTGCTCCTCAGGGTGCCAGGAGCTTCTTTCTGGGAGTCAGTAGAGCACAGTTATTTGTTTTAAAACTGCTGTCAAAGGAGAAGGAAATGAAACTGACAAAATTAGAGGCTTCAGCCCTGGCCCCTTGCTCCCTTTCTGTGTGACCTGATGAAGGAGCTTACCCTCTCTGAGCCTGTTTCCCCTTCAGTCACACATGGAGAAAAACAGTGCCCACATCCTCCACATACCTGTCACTGCAGGTGATACTGGTCCCAGCCCCACAGGCACAGGGCTGCCAGAGGTTTTCCACGTCTCTGCCTCTGTGCTCCCCATGAGCTGGGGAAGGTGGGAGCAACGCAGACCAGGGTACCCTGGTGCTGACTGCACCATCCTCGGTCTGAGCCCTGGGGACCCTGACACACCAGACAGCCTAGAAGGCCACCAAGGTCAGCACTGAACTATGTTTATGCTCTGCAGATGACCAGGAGCATGTGTGCAGCGAAGGGCACTAAGAGGTGGCCAGACCAACGGCAGGTGCTGCGGCCTCCGTGCACTGCCCCGGGCCTCCCACAGCAGCAGCCCCAGGTCCTGCAGGTGGGGGCTTTCTCCTGACCCTTGGCAGCCCCATGTACAGCTCCTCCTACGGCTCCCTGGGTGGGCAGGCCAACAGAGGCTGCCGCTCAGGACCCTCCACACCGGGAGGCTGGTCTGCACCAAGCTCCTTAGGCATTCCACACTCACGCCCCCTGTCCCTGCTCTGTCCCCTCTGTGGCTGTCTCTCTCCTCTGTCTCTCTCCTCTCTCTCTCTCTCTCTCTGTCTCTCTCTCCCCTCTCTATGTCTCTCCCGTCTCTGTCTCTCCCCTCTCTGTGTCTCTCCCGTCTCTGTCTGTCTCTCCCCTCTCTGTGTCTCTTCTCTCTGTCTGTGTCTCTCCCATCTCTGTCTCTCTCCTCTCTGTCTGTGTCTCCCCCCTCTCTGTCTCTCTCCTCTCTGTCTCTCCTGTCTCTCTCTTTCCTCTCTGTGTCTCTCCCGTCTCTCTCTCCCTCTCTGTCTATGTCTCTCCTTTCTCTGTCTCTCTCCTCTCTGTCTGTGTCTCTCCTTTCTCTGTCTCCTCTCTGTCTGTGTCTCTCCCGTCTCTGTCTCTCCCATCTCTGTATGTCTCTCTCCTCTCTCTCTGTCTCCTCTCCTCTCTCTCTCTCCCTCCCCCCTCCTCTCTCTCTCCTCTTCTCCCTCTCTCTCCTCCCTCCCTCTCTCTCTGTCTCTCTCCCCTCCCCCCTCTCCTCTCCTCCCTCCCTCCCTCTCTCTCTTTTCTCTCTCCTCCCTCCCTCTGTCTCTCTCTCCTCCCTCCCTCTGTCTCTCTCTCCTCCCTCCCTCTCTCTGTCTCTCTCTCTCCTCTCTCTCCCCCTCTCCCCCTCTCCTCCCTCCCTCCCTCTCTCTCTTTTCTCTCTCCTCCCTCCCTCTGTCTCTCTCTCCTCCCTCCCTCTCTCTGTCTCTCTCTCCTCCCTCCCTCTCTCTCCCCCTCTCCTCCCTCCCTCTCTCTCTCTGTCTCTCTCTCTCCTCCCTCCCTCTCTCTGTCTCTCTCTCTCTCCCTCCCTCCCTCTCTCTGTCTCTCTCTCCTCTCCTCCCTCTCTCTCTCTCCTCTCTCTCCTCCACTCCTCCTCTCCTCCCTCTCTCTCTCTCTCCTCTCTCTCCCCCTCTCCCCCTCTCCTCCCTCTCTCTCTCTCTCCTCTCTCTCTCTCTCTCTCTCTTCCTACTGTCTCTCTCCTGTTTCTTTCTCCTGTCTCTCCTCCCTCCCTCTCTCTGACTCTGTCTCTCTCTGTCTCTCTCTCTCTTTCCTCCCTCCCTCTCTGTCTCTCTGCCCTCCGTCTCTGTCTCTCTCCTGTCTCTGACCCTGCCTCTGTGTCCTGTGTGGCTCACTGAGGGTGGCAGAGTGAAATGGCATGTCCACACCATGGAGATGGCCTCACTGCAGGGACCCCAACACTGCGATGGCCGTGACCTGCCGGTGGTGTCCCTTGGCACAGCCTGTGGCCCAGGACACCATCTGCACCTGCAGGATGTCACCCCAGGGGACCGCAGTCCCCTGTGCCCAGCCCCTGTGGTGTGACCAAGGTGGCACTGTCAGAGCCCTCCAGAGCACTGTCTTCTTGTCCTCCCAATCCTGAGGTCAGCTGAGGCTGCCAGTGGGGACATGGATGCTTGAGTGGCAGGAGCTCGGCCACACCCAGTCAGGGTCAGGTCAGCCTGTGGGGAGGGGACTGCTGGTGTCCTGGGTTGTGGCCCTGTGGGGGTGCAGAGAGCTCCAAGGTCCAGCAGCTCTGAGCCCGGTAAGCGGAGGCCTGGAGAGACCGGGAGCCGAGGCCCTGCAGCAGTCCTCGAGGACCAGAGTCCCCAGGGCCCGGCTCGCCTCAGGGCCAGCTTTGGCCTCTGTGCACGGAGGACAGCCAGGTTGCCCAGTTTCCCAGAAGCACCCAGCTGTGCCTGGGCGGTCCACGGCCTCCTGACCACAACCCACAGCCCTTTCCCCCTTCCGGACCGTTGGGTGGGGGTGGGGCTGCAGCCCAGAGGTCTCTGTGGGAGAGGAGCCTGCCTGGCCATGGGGCCCAGGCTGGGGGACTGGGGGTGCCTGCTGCTGACCCTGGCCGCGGCCCTGACACTGCCTACCAGGGCCCCTGGTAAGGATCCTGACTCCCACCCCAGCCCCTCCGACTCCCGCAGGGGAGTCCCAGGTGGCCCTGCACCTGGCCGTGGCCCTGGGGCAGCCACTCAGCTGGGGATGGGACCCCAGGCTTACAGGGTCCCAAGGCCCCTGCAGACGCTCTCTCCTGCCCCTGTGTGTCTCTGCCTCTCCCCCACCCTGCCCTGTGCCCACCTGCCTGGTGCCCGGCCTGGCCCCTCACACAGCTGCCCCACTGCAGGCTCCCTGGGGGCGCAGATCATCGGGGGCCGTGAGGTGACTCCCCACTCCCGGCCCTACATGGCCTCTGTGAGCTTCGGGGGCCAGCACCACTGTGGGGGCTTCCTGCTCCGATCCCGCTGGGTGGTCTCCGCTGCCCACTGCTTCAGCCACAGGTGAGGTTCTTCCTGACAGCAGGAGCTGGCCCTGGCCAGCAGGGAGCCGGGCTCTGCAGGGACAGGGTGGACGCCACAGCTTGTCGGGGTCTCTCAGGACCCACACAGGCAGCAAGGAGAATGGGAGGAGGGGTGGCGGGGTGGTGAGGAGGCAGGGGGACGGTGACCCCACGGGGCTGCCATCATTGCTATCACCTGTGTCAGGTGGGGGCCGGACCACCAACATGCTAAGCACCATGCTCACTCTAAGTGTGTCCTAGCCAGGATTCTGACCGGTCCTGCAGCTCCTGAGATGTCACTGAGCTGAGGCCACAGGGCTAGGCCCCTTACTTGGAGGAGGGTCTCAGGCCCCTGTTCTGTCCTGCCACTCTCCATAGGGACCCCCGTGAGGCCCTGGTGGTGCTCGGGGCCCACACGCTGCGCCCCCAGGAGCCCACCCGGCAGGTGTTCGGCATTGCGGCGGTGACCAGGCACCCCGACTACCAGCCGGCCACCCACGCCAACGACATCTGCCTGCTGCGGGTGAGCAGGGCGGCCACACCCAGTGTGACCTCTGGATTTGTGTTTTGTGGTGCTGGGGACCAAAGCCAAGGCCTTGCATGTGCCAGGCAAGAGGCCACCGCTGAGCCACTAGCACCCAATGAGGCGGAGGGGCCCTGTGAGCACCTGAGCCAGTCACACCCCTCCTGGCCCGGCCACCTGGCTCCGCCTCCCACGTGCCCCTCCTCCGGGCCCTGGCGCAGGCTGGGCCGGCTCCGCTGCGTGGAGGAGGAGAGGGGATCTTTCCAGTATCAGCTCGGTGCCCTTCCCTGGCATTTGGCAGCCCTCCCCTCACCTGTCCCCTGCTTCTGTCTGGCACCAGAGTCACCTGTACACCTGGGCCATTGCTTGATGCCTCCTCTGGACCTTGATGGCCACCCATGGTACAATCAGGCTCCATACTTGAAAGAGGGGATGGGTGAGGTCCTGGCTTCCATCAAAGACCGCAGCCTGCCCTGGGCTGCAGGGGCCCTTCCGTGGGAGTCCTGGGTGGACCCAGGTGCCCCCAGGGCCTGGTATTCAGTGGGGAGTACACCCAACCTGCCCTGGACCTTCGAGACACCCGCCCGGGTCCGTGGACAGGTCCGTGGGCAGGTGTGGGGGCACCGTCCTTCCCTAGCCCATCAAGGAGGTCTGCACTCCCAGCTGCCACGGCCTGGGGGACCTGCTCACCCGACACCCCAGCGCCCTGCACCTGCCGCTCACGTTCGCTTGGCCCCTCTACAGATGGGGAAACTGAGGCAGGCCAGCAGTCGGCCATGAAGTGCCTGCAGCACCAAGGGGAGTGAGTCCCAGCCCAGGGTCTGCGCCACTGTCTGCCTCTGAGGATGGCAGCCCCTCAGTCCCAGCCGCCTCCCCGCTCTGTGCAGCCCCCGCGGACCTCTGTGGGCCACGGGCAGCTGCTGGGTTCTGGTTCTGGTTCTGGCAGGGTGCTGCGGCGGAGCCCGGGCCTCCCCCTTGGACCTGAGTGAGGAGGCTTCCCTGTGGAGGGAGGGTGGCCCCAGCAGGGCACCAGGAGGAGCCTCAGCAAACCTGCCCTGGCAGGAGGCGAGACAGGCTGGGGAACCGTCGGCCTGGTCCATGTTAACGGTGGACCCCGAGGGCACTGGGGAGCCACGGAGGGCTAAGAGCAGGAAGGAGGCGCAGGCTGGTGAGATGGAATCTGGTGGGCGGAGGCCCAGGGCACCTGCGGCGGCCCCAGACGGCCTCCTCGGGGCGCGGCGGTCCCAGGTCGGCGCGCCGTGGGCGGAGCCCTGAGTCGGCCTCTCCCCGCAGCTCAACGGCTCTGCGGTCCTCGGGCCTGCGGTGGGGCTGCTGCACCTGCCGCGGAGCGGCGCCAGGCCACCCGCGGCCGGGGCGCGCTGCCGGGTGGCCGGCTGGGGCTTCGTGTCGGACTTCGAAGAACCCCCCCCAGGACTGATGGAGGCCGAGGTCCGTGTGCTGGGCCTGGACGTCTGCAATAGCTCCTGGAGGGGCCAGCTGAGCCCCCACATGCTCTGCACCCGCAGTGGGGACCGGCGGAGGCGGGGCTTCTGCTCGGTAAGTGCCCCCACCCACCCGCTTACGTAGGGCAAAGAGCCGCCGCCGGGGGTCAGGGCTGGGCAGGGGCGGCCTCGGGCCCCGGGCCCCGGTGCTGCGACCAGGAAGGGCGGGGCGTCCCCCGGGCCACCGGGGTGTGGTGCTGGGCTGTCGGGGTGCGCAGGCACGGAGCGGCCCTCCTTGTGCAGCCACAAGCAGTGTCCAGCAGGGGGCAGAGCAGGGCCACAGGAAGCCGCCCCTGCCCGACTCCTGGAAAACACGTGAACGCGGGCAGCTCTGGGGAAATGGCCGGGAGGGAGGGTCGTCAGCTCCAGGGAAGAGAGGCGTGGTGTAGACAGACTCCAGCGCCCACCAGCCTGAATCCAATGCAGGCAGCGCCACCTCATGTCTCTGGGCCGCACTGCTTCCAGCAGTGAAACCGCTACACTGGTAGTTCCTGCTTCATAGGGTCAGAGCTGAGTCCAGAGGGCAGTTAGGGTGGTTGGACCAGGGGAGATTTTAGGGTGGGTGTCCGGGAGGCCTCTCTGAGAAGAGCAGCGTGGAGATGAAATTTGAAGCCTTGAGGTCTGAGGGAAGGTATGCCAGGCAGAGATGGCTTAGAGGACTACTAAGTACATTCGGGCAGGTGGTGCACTGCACAAAGATCACAGACTCCACCGGACAAACAGGTCTCTAGGACGTGCAAATGTGGGAAGAGCCTGAGGCTGGTGTGGTTGCAGCCCAGAGTCAGGGGCAAGAAGGGCAGAGGGAGGGCAGGGTTGGGTCCTTGCGGCCTGGAAGGCAGAAGAGAGCACTAGGGAGCTGCTGAAAGGTTTTAAAGCAGGGTGTGTGGGGGGTGTGTGATTCACCTGCAGAGGCTCCTTTAGGGAAACGAGATCCACGGCCCCTTACCTCCCTTCTCCTTCACCCTAGGCGGACTCCGGAGGGCCTCTGGTGTGCAGGGGCCGGGCCCAAGGCCTCATCTCCTTCTCAGGCCTCTGGTGCGGTGACCCCAAGACCCCCGATGTGTACACACAGGTCTCTGCCTTCGTGGCCTGGATCTGGGGTGTGGTTCGGGGAGGCCGCCCCACCTAGGATTGCAGAGCACCGCCTGGGCGCTGCCTGAGCCACAGCCCTGCTGATGACCTGCCACTTGGACTGCAGCACCCCATGGCTGGACCCTGAGGCCCAGGCACTGGTTGTGGGGGATCTCTGCTGCAAATGAAGAGAGCAGAACCGAACCCAGTTGATGACTAGACACGTGGGCACCAGCCTCTGCCACGGACAGTTCCGGGGCCCGGACCAGCCAGTGTCTGTCTTGCCTGCAGTCCTTTCCATCCTTCCATGCCCCCCACGGACCTCTGAGGAGGTATCCGGCCCTCCCACCCTGGACCCCAGCACCCCTGCCGAGAAGACCGACAAGCCCACCAGTGTCCGGGTGGGGAAACTGAGGCTGGGAAACCTGGAGTGCTCTGAGGAGGGGTGGGGCTGCAGGGATGCTGGACAGGGGTCTCCCTATCTCAGGTGGGCCTGGCCTCCCAAGCCTTGCCCCCCGTCCTCTGATGACCACAGCAGGTGGCCGGTCACAGAAGGAGATTGCCCCAGGCTGTACAATCACATGGCTACTGCTGTTGCACCCCAACTCTGAGGCCGGGATTTGTTTTTGAACCCCCAGCCAGCTGGCTTCTTGGGGTCGTCCTGAGCTGTCTCGCACCCCTGCCTTCCCCACCCACAAAGGCCCCTTTTCTCCCTCCCCTCTCCTACTCAGTCCCTCCTGCTGCCCTCCATTGCTTGGAGGTGGAGCTGAGCCCAGGAACACAAGCCCAGGCTTCTCTGGATGCTCCCAGGAGTCCACTAGTCACCCCCTCGCTGCGGGGCAGCACAAGACCCAGAGAGAGGAGGCGAAGGCAGGCCTGGACACCCCCAGTAGCCTTTCCAGTCTTTATTTCTTTGGTGAGGCAGAACCCAGGGTGGGGAAGGCCGCCCTGTGGGCTCAGTGGACCCCTGGCTCGGGGTGCTCACTGGAATTTGCAGCACAGCTCTCTGGGCTGGAGAAAGATGGGCAGGGCCTCACTGTCCACCTGGCCCTGGACCAGGGAGCTGGGCTCTCTGCCCACTGGTTTGCCTCTGGTCTCCAACACAGTCTGAGTGGAGGGTAGCAGCCTCAGGGACTGGCTCCAGAACTAGCTGGTGCGGCCACCCCCAGCCCAGCTGACAGGTGGCTAGAGGCTATTGGGGAACTGGGTCTAAAGCCCTGGCCAAGGCCTGCCACTGGGCAGCAGGAACCCAGCGCTGCCCAGGTCAGTCTTGGTCCCCACTCTTGGGGTAAGCTGGGGCTCGTGGTCCCCATCTGGTCATCCCTAAGTGGACAGCACATTGCAGGACACAGGACACAGTTCTGGGTGAGTGCTGGTGGCCCCACATCTGAGGCCATGGAATCTCACCAGTTGAACCTCTGGGAGGTGGTGGGCAGATGTGCCCGAGACAGGAGGCATGGATGGGACCCTGCTCAGGCAACATGCAGGGCATTTCTTACTGGGAGGCAGAGGTAGTGGGGAGGCAGGAACCTGTGGTTCTTGGGCTGGGAGGCCACCATGCCACTTTTTGGCCTTTTGCTTATCTGGTATGGGCACCTGCCCTGGGCCCCAGCGCCGGGCTTTGAGGCCAGCCTCCTCACCTCTGTCCTGGGGAGGGGAGGGCCGTGGAGCTTCTCACAAACCATTAGCAGGGGCCGCCAGTGCAGCGCGCTGGCGGTGTAACCGACAGGCATCTCCAAAGAAGCAGAAACGGGATCCTCTGGGCAGGTACCTAGGATAGGGGCTGGGCTTCCCCAGGAGGTCCCCTAACCTGATGCTGCGTCTCCAGGGCAGCCACATCCACTGGCCCTTTGGGAGGTCTCCTTCCCTCCGCCCTTCCAAGACATCTTCAGTGCGCTCTGGGATCCCCAAGAAATCCCCACTCAGGTTCAGTAGTCCGCGGGACATAAATTAGATTCTGCTGCTGTGACAATAAATAAGAGGGACGGCCTCGAACGCCAGGCGGTGCTGCTGCAGCTCACACGAAGTTCTCCTCCTCCGACTCGACCTCCGACTGCTCCTCGCGAGCGCCTGCAGGGCAGGGAGGAGCAGAGCTTGAGAGCTGCCAGCGCGGAGGTTGGCGTTCCCAACTGGCCCCGCCTCACCTGCGCAGCTTCCAGGGTGGCGAACGCCGATGGAGCGACCCAGGAAACACGTGGCCTGGCGCAGGTGGCACGAGGAGATATAGGTGACGTTGTTGTTGCCGCAAAGCTCTTGGCCGGGAATGGTAGGCGCCGGGCAGGGCGCGGATCGACACATCACGCAGTGCGCACTGCCGGTCTGGTCCACCACGCACGACTGGGGCCGTGGGCACACCACGTGCACGCAGGACTCTGCAGGCCAGACGCGAGGGAGGGTCAGGGGCGACACAGCTCCGAGAATCGCCGGATGGGCCCACAGCCTTGACCTCTCGGTACGCCCGGCCTGGCCCCTGAGGGCGCACGGCTCTCCACGCGAGTGTGCCCTGGGACTATACCGGGGGGCTCCCCCCACGAAACCTGTGAGACTGCATCCAGGACCAAGCTCTGCCCCTCTCGCCTCACCCACAGGCCGCCCCTTCTGTACTAGCATCAAGCTCCACCCCTCTCTACCCCCAAGCCCCGCTCTCCTGGTACCGACATCTGGTTCCGCCCCCTCTCGCCCCACTCCCATAAGCTCCGCCCTCTGGCTATAACCGGAGCCGCCGCTCTTCCCGAACCCCGCCCCCTCAGCCACCAAGTTCTGGCTCCACCCGCAGGTCCCAGTTTCTGGTTCCGTCTTCAACCCCGCCCCCTCTGGCAGCACGCGGGAGCCGCACTGCTTCTTGATTCAATTCCCGAGACGCGCGCTAGCGGATACCCAGCCCCATCCCGGTGTTGTGCGGCAGCGCCCCAGTACTCCACCGCAGGTCCGCGAGGCCCCGCCCTCCCCCAGGCCCCGCCCCGCCCCGCCCCGCCTACTTTGGCAGCGGCCGGGATACATGACGCGCAGGTCCGGGTGGCCTCGGCAGCGCGCGGCGCGCAGCTCGCACTCGTCGCGGTAGGTGGCGCCGTCCGAGCCGCAAACTTGCAGGCGCTCCGGGAGACCAGCGCAGTCTGGTGCGCACTCGCAGCGCGGGCGGCCCCCCAGCATGCGGCACGCCTTGCCGGGGCCACACTCCACGCCGTCACAGGAATCTGCGGGAAAGGACACGAGCTCTTGGGTCTGGGCGCCGCCCGGAAGGGTCCTCAGGTCCCTCATCCACGCTGCTGAAGGATAGCGGCAGGGCCTAGGGCCGCGGCGTGTCCCGATCCTGGTCGGGAGCACCGGGACGCGCCCGCCCGGCGTGGAGTCTGCGCGTGGACCTACTGGGGGACAGGGTTTGTTCTGCGCCTGGGCGGAGACTTGGTGAGGAGCTTGGCTCCACGTGGGCGGGCGGGGGTCTCTGCCGAGAATCTGGGGTCCAGTGGCCGAGCTCACTTCCCTCCGCAGCGAGGCCGACGTCTGTTCCCCGCTTTCTGCGCGTTTCGGGGAAGGCCTGCCGGGCAGCTGCATCAGCCCTGGAAGGGCCTCCACCCGGGGCCTGGCACGGATCGGAGGGCACTCGCAGATCTGTTCCTTCTGTGGCCAGGACCTCTCCAGGAGGTGTCAGTGAGGGCAGGTGTGATCCCGCCCGAGCCCAAAGAGCATTTCGTGGGGAAGGGGCCTCTCACAACCTCCTGAAACTGGGGCTCACTCCTGCAGCCCCATTTCTCAGGTCTGGCTAGGGTAAGCCTCGTAGCATCCTCCCTGAGGCCTGGTCAAGCTGTGAGGGGCGGGCGGACAGGAGCCGGGACCTGTAATGCACACCTGCCTGCCCCTTTCTGTTGCTTGGGTGTCTGGATCCTGAACTCTGAAGATCCCGGCCGCAGTTTCCCTATGCATAAAGGGGATGGGGATCCCACCTTACAGGGTGAGCCATCTTGCCCAGGACAATGGCCAGAGTCCCCTCTGGGCATCATCATGTAGGCTGCACCCGGGCACCTCCCACCCCGCCCACATGCACATCTGGAACCACTCCGGTGGCTTCAGAAGGGAAAGGGAAAGGGGCCAGGTTCCCATCTCAGGGCCAGATGAGGTTGTGGGGACAGAGTTCTGGGCCATTTCGTGCCCAGGTCAGGCACTTTCTGAAGTCTGTTCTCCAGAAGCCAGAGGCGGGGAGTCTGGAGAGCTTCGGGTGGGAATGAGTTCAGGACCACCCAGCCAGGCTGATCTGGGATTGATCACTTCTGAGGCCCCCAGTCTGAGCTCCCCGGCTTGGCCTTCAGGTCTGCAGCCCTGTGCCCCCCTCCTCCCAGCTCCCTGGCTGACTCTGGACCATGGGCTCTGCCCAGCGGACTCCTCCTCACGCTGCAGAACCCAGCTCTGACGCACACTTCTTCACATCCTGCCCTGGAACCCTCTCTGGGCTCCTGCAACTTCAGCCTGACCACTGGGGACTAGGAAGGTCCTCCAACCAGCCCATCCTCCAAGGCAGAGGACTCTGGACTCTTTCATTCTGCTCATGATGTGATGTGGGGGGCAAGATTTCTTAGAGCAAGGTCCAGAGGTACAAGCCTATTGAACATGCATAGTCGGTGGCATTCAGGGCCCTGTGTGGGCTCTGGGAACCAGCTCTCCAGGAGCTAGGTGTGAGCCAAGTGGCCTCTGCCATTTGGGGGGTGGGTGGCAGAGCCATTCAAACTGAAGGCCCTGGGATGAAGCTGGGAATCTCCTGGGTGCACCCCACCCCTCAGGCCTGCATCCTGCAGTGACAGGAAGCTTGCTCCTGACATCCCCCTGTCAACCATGGTGGCTCTTCTTGCTGCTTCTGGGCTGAGCCGCAGTGCCCTGCCTCTGGCCCTAGCATTGCTGGGGGCTCACCTCTGCAGGGCAGACAGTGGACGAGGCCTAGGAATCCCAGGAGGCTGATCTTGTTCCCTGGGTGGGTGAAGTTGGACCAAGCAGTGTCGATGCTGCCAGAAGCACAGCACTCAGCCTGGCTCACGTCAGTCCTCAGCACCAGGCTGCAGGTGGCCTCCTGGCCCTGCTGGAGCCAGCAGACACCCCCTGTGGGAGAGGGGACACTGCCTGCAGGCCCTCCTGACAGCCAGCCTCTGCCCCACCACTGGGACACATACTGCCATGCTCCACGGCTCCGGAGTGCAGAGAGCACATGGATGCACACCCAGGCTTGGCCCCTTTGGGGGTCCCTCCTTTCTGAGCCCCACCCCCACTTCTGTACCACCAGCCCTGACTCTCCTCCCGAAGGCCTGGGAACTGGCCTCCCGCCCAACCAGTCAAATGCCAGGCACTGGACAAGTCAGGGTGAGTGGGCCTGCAGCCCTTCTCCCGCCTCTGCCCTCTGTCTAGACAGCGCCCGAGGGCACAGAGCCCCTGGCTTGGCAGCCCCCCCTCGCCTGGCCCGCCTCTTACTCACTCCAACTTAGGAACATTCTCCCGGCATGAGCTCACCGGCTCCCCAGGGGACAAGGCCTTCGGGGAGGGGGCTTGCTCTCCCCTCCACCAGGCTGGGGTGAGGCTGCTGCGGGTGGGGTGGGAGGGTGGGAGGCAGAAGGCCATTGCCCCCCTCCCGAAACAGGGGCTCCAGAGGTTGCAGCCCCCATCCCAGAACTGTCTGTGGCTTCCAGACACACCGAGTGCCTCTCAGGGACCGGCTCCGAGAGCCCAGCACCTCAACACCCGTCTTACAAAAGGGGAAACGGAGTCCAGGAGTGAGGGTGTCGTGGCCCAGCCCTCCCAGCCAGTGGCAGGTATGAGGGTCCCAAGACCCACCCCGTCTGGGGAAGATCTGCAACCCAGCTGGAGTTCTGGGTACGGTGGCCAGGCCACCCAGTTGCCTCTCTCGGGCATCTGGACCCACCCTGATGATTCACTTCCCATCCTGGCTTGGCCACTTAAGGCTTTGTGACCCTGAGCCTCAGTTTCCCCATCTGGAAAACGGGGGTGGTAAGAGCACCCACACACTGGCTGTTCTGAGGATTTGGGGATACAGAGGTAGACGCTGAGTGCTCAATAAATGGCAGTGGGTGTGCTGGCCAACCTCAGCTCTGCTGGCCCTGGGATTGCCCTCTTCAGACCTTTGGCCTGGGGAACCGGGCGCCAGCCTGCTGTCGGACACCCCTGGCCCAGCTGCCGCGCCCCAGCATCGCAGCCGCATTCCCCAGGCCCACGTGGGTGGCCGCCCCGCCCGCCCCTTCCGGCCGCCCCACTCACCGGGCGCGGGGTCCCCCGAGCCCACGTAGCCCACGAAGCCCACGGCCCAGGCCAGGGCCCCCCAGGGCAGTGGCCACAGCGGCCCCTGCGCCCCGGGACGCATGGCGAACAGAGAGCTAGGCGCCGACTTGCAGCGCGGGGCGGGCGCTTGTTATAAAGGTCCCGCGGCCCGCAGGCGGGGCCGGCGGCGGGGCGGGGCGCGGCGCGGGTGGCGGGGACCGGACGTGTCCCGCGCGGTGCAGGGCCGGGCCTGCCTGGGGTGGCAACTGGGGGAGGGCCCAGGTCCCATCTGGGAGCCAGAGAGTTGGTCTGGGAAGATACGGGTGTAGCGGGGGTCAGGGGACAGATTTCCTATGACGTGAATTGGAGGTGGTAACCGGTGGCAGCCTCCAGGTGTCTGGTCAGGCTGGGGAGGCTTTGGTTGCATGGCTATGGCTCTGAACTACAGGTTCAGGTCTGGGGAGCTGGACACCACCTTGGGATTGGCAAGAGGGTGCCTTCAGAGCCTAAGCGTGACTTGGACAGTTTCTGCTCTGTTCACACCTGCCATCTACCCACCACCTGGCCACTGACCAGTAGACACACCAGCAAGTAATTAGGGGAAGGACAGGTGGAGGGGTGCAGCAGGAGAGATCCCCAGACAGTTGCTCCCAGAGCAAGAGGACAGCAGTGGCCTTCTCACCAGGGTCCACAGCTTCTGGGCCACTGCTGGTGCCAACCCCGGGCCAGTAGCAGCGCAGGCCACACAGTCACATTGGTAGGTTTTAGAGGGTCTTCCCGCCCTCCCAGGTGGCCTGAGCAGAGGTGCTCCTTACCATTCTTTTTGGAGCTGATTCCGTCTAGTGTGGGGGCACTCCAGATGGTCAGGACACCCCTCAAGTGTGTGTGGGTTCTGTGGAGTCCCCTGTGCTTCTGAGATAATTAGTGGCAGCAGGAGAGACCCTGCTGGAATCCCTCCAGATCATGCAGACCAGTAGCCTGACCTATGGCTGGGAGAGTGTGAGCGCTCTCAAGGACAATAAAAAGCTGAGTCTCCTCGGCCTCCATTCCTGCTTTCTCCCCCTCCTCCAGTGGGGAAACTGAGGCTCCCTGGAGCCATAGGACAAGTCTGTCCTGCCTTCAGAGCTCTGCCACCACCAGGAGCCACGCCCAGACCCTGGCGCAGGCCTGAGCTGCCCATCCTGATTGCTGTCCCCTAGCCGGTGGCCAAGGGCCAAGTTTCTGCCCTAGTGCAGACATACGCTCCTGTTCTGACCTGGCCCTGGCCTCTGGCAGTCCCCCAGAGATTCTCTGAGGCTGGGGAGTGGGCAGGGATGGGACCCTGTGTTCTCACTGAGGGTGTGTGGGGGCTGGACAGTGTGACCATGGCCGAGACCTGACCCTGCTAGGGCTCTGCCATCTGAGCTGGGCAAATCAAAGGGTCATTGTCTGGTTGGCGTGGGTTCAGGGCCCCTCCAGCCTGCTCTCTGGCCTGGTGTACTGGGACCTCGAGCAAGTGGGGGACCCCTCCTCCTGAGACCCTCGTGCCAGACACCTTTGCTCTCCCCCGTTCTGCCCTTCTCTTTAAGCCTCCGCGTCCTCGCCAGCCTCCCCCTGCCTCCCACTTCCTACCCTACTCTGTAGACCCTCCTCGGCTCAGACGCCAGGCACGACTCCCTGTGCCTCTGCGCACCTTCCAGGCTTCTCTCCCCCCGGCCTGACCAGCAACTGGACAGTACAGGGCCTGGCAGATGCTGGGAGGGCACCTGAAGCTGGAGGTGCCCCGACTGCTGAGGGAGATCAGCAGGGACGCTGAGACCTGAGAGCTGGGCCGGGCACAGAAGGGATGGAGGAGCAGCTGCAACTCAGAGAAGCGCCACCCGAGGGCAGTGGGCAGCACAGCTGCAGGGGGACATCAGGCCAGACCCTGACCCCGAGGCCCTGAGGCGCTCTGCTGGAATTGGGTTCAGGACCTTCAGGAGAAGAGGGTTTCCCAGATTGCCCAGGTGGGCCTCATGTCACTGAGGGTCCTCAAAGTAGACATCCTTTCTGCTGGGGTGAGAGACGTGGGGCAGAGAGGTCTTGGCAGCCATCGCTGGAAGCGATAGTGGAAGAAGGGACCTCAGACCCGAGTGTGGGTGGCCTCTGAGACTGGAAGAGCTGTGGAGCAGCCCCCGGGGAGCTACTGAAGGGACACGGCTCTGCCAATGGTCACTAGCAGCTGGTTCTCAGCCAGCCTGACCACTGTGGGACTTCTGCCTCCACCGCTGTGAGCAGCCCACCGTGGCTGCTTGGGGACAGACAGCAGGAGGCTCTGGGCCTCTGGCTGCAGGATCCATCTGCAAAGTGGGCACAGACCCCAGGACCCGAGGTTTCTGCCAGACCCAGGCAGTGGCTGGTACACAGGGGGCATGGCCTGAACCTAGGCTCCTGTCCACTGCAACACTGGGAGGGAGTCTCTTTCCTGGAGTCTCCCAGCCCCACTGAGCTGGGACTGGTGTCAGTTCTAGGTAAGTGAGGTCCTAGGACCTGTGTGCTGAACTGGGGACAGGCCTTCCCTGCTCTAGACTGGATGGCGGTGTCCAGCCCTCTTGTTCCCAGACCACATTTCTCCTTTGGAGCATCACCTCCCGCAGTCCAGCCAAGTGCGCCAAGGGTCGGCATCCACTCAGGCTCTACCAATTCGTGAGGAGCCCCCTAGAACTTTTGCTGGCAAAGGGATATCCACTTCCTGCTGGGTTGCAGCTGGCTCCTGCCAGTGGTGAGGAAGAGGGCAGCCCAGCCAGACTCAGAGCTTCTAGGAGCCCCAGCAAGTCCCTGTGATATTCGAGGACCTGGATCCAGCTATGCCTGAACTCCTCCACAATAATATGAAACCACTTTAAACTGAGTTTTGGTCACTAGCAGCTGAGGAAACCACCTTTCCAATAAATCAACTTACATTTTATTCAAGCAGGACTCATAGGACCCAGAGCAGCAGGGGTTGTAGGAGCCACACTCTTACGTCCCCACCGCTGCCTCCAGGGTGTGGGTCATGGTACCACGTTCCTCAAGCCAGAGGACACCTGTGGTGGACTCCACAGGAGTTCATGATCAGCAGCCCCTAAATGGGAGCCCAAAGCCGCTGGTGATGGGGCCCATGATGCTGATGGCCATGGGGGCAGTGCAGGGACATCCTGGAGGGGGCCAGGCCTTGTCTTGTCACAGATGTCCCAAGCTGTAACAGTACCTGTGGCTCCCAGGGCCACAAGGTGGAGCCGAGGTTGTTCAGCGCCAGTTCAAGACCCTGCTGCTGGGCCTGCACAGTCCAGCCCTTTCCGCAGTAACTCTTCCACCCAACCCCCAACTGTCCTCACCACACCCCTGCTGCTTCCTCTCTGTGATGGAGGACCCAGTTTGAACAAGAATCAGGTAATCCTGCTGGTCCCAGGGGACAGGGCCCACCCTTAGTGCTGATGTCCACAGCCGGCCACAGTGCCATCAGTCACTCCTGTCCCTAGTCTTGGTGTGGAGGCCATAGGACCCAGCTTTGGCTGGTGGCAGTGTGCAGACCATGTCTTCTGTGACCCTGAGGTGGCCAGTATCAGTTTGCTGTTTGCTGCTGTAACATGCTGCAAGCCCAGCAACTGAAAACAGCACAGATCCACTGGCCTCCAGTTTAGGAGCTCAGAATTCCACCCAGGTCTCCCTGGGCTAAAATTAAGTGCATTAGGGACCTTCTTTCCTCCATCAGTGCTGAGTAGAGTACGGTTTGGGGTGTCCCTGCCAGGACAAGGGGTGCAGAGCCCCCACCTTCTATCCCAGGAGACAGCTGAAGTCAGGCCCATAAGCTGCCTTCTTGGGTGGGCCTTAGTTTCCCAAGAAATGGGAAACAGTTGTCTTTCAGCCCAGGACAACCAGAAACAGAGAAGGTGCAGGTGGCACGTGGAGTATGCAGTGGTGTGTGCAGTGAGGCCTACTGTGGTGTATGCGGTGGTGTATGCAGTGAGGCCTACTGTGGGGTATGCAGTGGTGGATGCAGTGAGGCCTACTGTGGGGTATGCAGTGGGGCCTACTGTGGTGTATACAGTGGGGCCTGCCTACTGCGGTGGATGCAGTGAGGCCTACTGTGGTGGATGCAGTGGTGTATGCAGTGGGGCCTACTGTGGTGGATGCAGTGAGGCCTACTGTGGGGTATGCAGTGGGGCCTACTGTGGTGTATACAGTGGGGCCTGCCTACTGCAGTGGATGCAGTGGTGGATGCAGTGAGGCTTACTGTGGTATATGCAGTGGGGCATACTGGGGTGTATGCAGTGAGGCCTACTGTGGTGGATGCAGTGTGTATGCAGTGGGGCCTACTGTGGTATATGCAGTGGTGTATACAGTGGGGCCTACTGTAGTGTATGCAGTGGGGCCTACTGTGGTGTATGCAGTGGGGCCTACTGTGGTGGATGCAGTGGTGTATGCAGTGGGGCCTACTGTGGTGGATGCAGTGGGGGCTACTGTGGTGTATGCAGTGGGGCCTACTGGAGTGTATGCAGTGGGGCCTACAGGGGTGGATGCAGTGGTGTATGCAGTGGGGCCTACTGTGGTAGATGCAGTGGGGCCTACTGTGGTGTATGCAGTGAGGCCTACTGGGGTGGATGCAGTGGGGGCTACTGGGTGGATGCAGTGGGGGCTACTGGGGTGGATGCAGTGAGGCCTACTGTGGTGTATGCAGTGAGGCCTACTGTGGTATATGCAGTGGTGTATGCAGTG